AAGCAAAAACAAAAATCGAACAAAATGTAGCCCGCTTGATGAAAGCAAGAGTTTTGGGTTCTAGGAGATACAAACACAACATAAACTGCCCGTTCAGTGGAAAACCGTCTTAATATGTTCCAGCTATGAATGGACGTCAAATGTGAAATTATCACATAGACATGGTAAAAGCAATGGTAAAAGTGAACATTCTGCCGATAGAACGTATTCATGCCACAAGTAAACATATTACGAGTGCGGACAAGAGAAAATTCAATTTGAAAGCTAAATATTAATTTAATTATTAAAATTGCCTGATCATGCCCACAGATTGACTATGTGACTTGTCCGAAAGAAAATCTCTCCACTTGATTGCTTGATTGAGAAATCCATTCAATTGTTAAGCGATCGTGTGGACACTGGGTGGCCAACTATTTTTACTTCCCACGCGGTTGGCGAGGAAGTATTGTAATTTCGAAAATGGGATATGTTAGGGACAATGATTACACTGGACAACAAATTTTAGTTTTTTAATTGTATCTTGTGGGAAAAGTGCACTTCTTTGTTAATCTTGGGGCGCTGAATCCAAAAATGACAATGAAATAAAAAAAATAGTTGCGGTTTAGAAAAAAACTTTTTATTTTTAAGGATATATTAAAAAAAGTAACAAGATTCATATACTTATAAGAATCACTATATGCGCTGTCTTTTTGCTGTTCTTTTATGGATCGTTTCTGGAGCATCTCTACCAAGAGTCCAACAGTAGTCTGCAAGCATGGAAGGATTCCACTTTCCCTGGTACCTTTTTTCCATTGTTGAAATATCCTGATGAAAACGTTCGCCGTGCTCATCACTTACGGCTCCGCAATTGTCAGGAAAAAAGTCCAGGTGTGAGTGTAGGAAATGTATTTTAAGAGACATATTGCAGCCCATCTTTTGATAGATGACAGCATATTTTTGAGAAGGGTTTTATAGTTGTCAGCTTTTGTATTTCCCAAGAAATTAGTGACCACCAGACGGAAATCATTCCAAGCAGTTTTTTCAATACCTGTTAAAGTGTTTTCAAACTGTGTATCTTTCAAAATATTTCGAATCTGTGGCTCAACAAAAATACCTTCTTTAACCTTTGCCTCACTTAGTCTTGGAAATTTCTGACGCAGGACGCAGGTATTGAAAAGCTGACCCATCTCTATCTAATGTCTTGACAAAGTTTTTCATTAGGCCCAACTTGATATGCAGTGGTGGTAATAAATTTTTTTTCGAATCTACTAATGGCATATGCTGTACATTTTTTTGACCTGGCTCTAGGTATTGACGAACAGGCCAGTTTTGTCTGGTGTAATGAAGTGCCTTTGCCCGACTGTCCCATTCACACAAAAAACAGCAAAACTTTGTGTAGCCTAGCTGCAGCCCAAGTAAAAGTGCAACAACTTTCAAATCGCCACAAATATGCCATTGGTGCTCATCGTATTTTGTCAATAGGTACTTCATATTGTCATATGATTCTTTCATGTGAACTGCATACCCTACAGGAAGAGATGGTAAAATATTTCCAATATGCAATAACACTGCCTTTAAACTCAATGTTGAACTGTCTATAAACAATCTCCATTCTTCTGGGTTATAGTTTATATTTAAAGCCGCCAGTAAGCCGTTAATGTTACTGCAGAAAACCAAGTTATTCTCCATATTGAAAAATGGTTCTAAGTCTTTGAGGCGTTTACGAAAAACACATACCGAAACATCGTCTTCTAACAAGTTCCACTGCTGCAGTCTTGATCCAAGTAACCCTGCCTTACATTTTGGAAGTTCTAAATCTCTTACAAGATCATTTAATTCTGACCGTGTTATTTTGTGCGGTTGGTGGCATGACGTGCTCGGTATAAAATCAGGATCTCTTGACGTTGATGGCATATCTTCTTCCTGACGAATCACTCGATCGCCATGATCCGATTCGTTTTCTGATTCGCAAGTGTAGGATTCTGGGGGTTTTGGAATATGATTTCCGTCACTGTGAGGCACAGGTCTCATCGCAGATGGTATGTTTGGGTAGTTAATAACCGATTTTTTTTTCTTGGATATACCTGTGGCTTGTCCAACACAAGGTACCATGCAAAAGTAACAATCATTAATATGATTTGTAGGCTCTCTCCAAACCATTGGGACAGCAAAGCGCATAGACCGTTTTTTGCCATTTAACCAGCTCCTCAGACTTGAAGCACATGTATTACAGCAGATGTGGGGTGCCCACTGTTTGTCTTGATCACCTAGTTTACAACCGAAATAAAGCTGATATGCCTTTGTTATTAGTGGAGTAATAGACCGTCTCTGAGACGCAAAAGTCACATCACCACACACGTAACAAAACTGATCTGGATTGTTCACACACTTTCGAGACATCTTGCATGAACGCTGTCAGCCAACTGAGGAAAAAATGGCTAATATAAAACAATATAATGTACACGTATGTATAACGTAACACAATCATGCCGATTACATCATCTTTCCTTGCCGAATATAAAAATGTAGCACGTGCATTCTTGTGAATTACAGTATATTAACACTGTCACAGCAGGAACACATAGAATTACCGTATCTCTAAAACTTGAACTAATATTGAAAAAATAAGTTTCATTCCGGTTTTAGCACATTAAAAATAGTAATGTTTTGTTGATTTTATTTAGGATATTTTTTGGCTGTTGATCAGTGTTATTGGTTTCAAGTTGTTCACATCTGGTATGTTTTTCAAGACCCTTTCGGGGCGTCGACGAGGAGAGGACACTCAACAGGCACTCGGCATCCAGCGAAAAGGCGGGACGCACGGTTCGACCCTTCGTAATTAATAAAATTCCCGATAATCTAATTGACTGCGTATCTTTCGATTCTATTGAACTCGAAACATCTGGTGCATAGAAATTATTATTTTTGGTTACGTATCAACCGCAAGCAGCTTCCGATGGCACGTATTCGTAATAAAAGCTAAGAAATCAATGATTTGACGGGTTATTAAATAGCAAAATTGCTCACACACCAACCGGCGAGAGAATTGATGAAAGTTATTTTCTCTAATTCGCCACATATCATAAACCAAGATTTTATGGATTTTTTACGATACATTCCAGTAGCGCGCTTTAATGTTTGTTGCAAAGCTTTCTTTGAAATCCATTTGAGATAGTATTTTGTATGGAAATTTGGTATTAGTCTATCCTAAGATCGCCAAATATGATCACATTTCAAAAATTAAAGTACAAATACGATTGAAAATATACTAAGTGACATTTAATCTATTTAATTTATTTAATTTATTTAATTAATTTAATTAATTTAATTTATTTAATTCATTTCATTTATTCAATTTATTTATTTCCTCTAAACAAAAAACATTGCATAGGATTTGTCATGCATTTTGAAATCCAGAAAATCTATATCTAACAAAAAACAGTCAAATATAAGTGACATATAAATCCGAACACCCAGTTTAAATGGTTTTATTTTAATAAAATTTTGTATAAGTACTTAATGAAGCATAATAAGTAAATGATAAAAATTTCAAAATGATTGCACTGCTTTAAAGCCCTTTGACCTTTAATAATGTGTGGATGCACCCTGATGTGCTACGCATACTCCAACGCGCCTAGGCATGCTTCTGATCAGGTGGTCAATGTCCTCCTGTGGTATCTCATTCCAGGCAACCACCACCTTCTCTCGAAGTGCTTCTAGAGTCTGAGGAGGACGTTGCAAATTGAGCAATCTCCTACCCATCATATCCCACACGTGCTCAATTGGGGATAAGTCGGGAGATCTTGGTGGCCATGGTAACAATATGACATCATTATGTTGAAAGAAGTCTATTGTGACTCTTGCTACATGTGGTCGGGCATTATCTTGTTGGAAAGTTGGATCTGCCAGGGTGTCAAGATAGGGTAAAAGATGGGGTTCTAGAACTTCGTGGATATAACGCTGCGCGTTCATGTTACCTCTGATGAAGATTAAAGGTGACCTGGAACCATAAGCTATAGCACCCCAAACCATAACTCCAACAGTGTGATGAACATGTCTTTCAACAAAAAACTGTGGATTCCTCCTTTCACCACGTCGCCTTCCAACCCTAGCACGACGATCGTGCATGCCTAAACAAAATCGAGACTCGTCACTAAAGACAATACTGTTCCATTCCTGATCCCAGAGTGACCGTTGTCTGCACCACTCAAGGCGATTACGTCGGTGTTCTCGAGTTAAAGGGAGGACCCAGTGTGGCCGGTATGAAAACAAGCCAAAACTTCTCATTCGTCGGTAAACACTTCGCATGCCAATAGGTCTTCCGTGTTCTGCAAACCATTCATTTGCAATGGACCTGGTAGTGGAGAAACGGTCCCTTAAGGCCAATAATCTTAGGCGGCGATCTTCACGGTCTGTTGTTCTACGGCGGCGTCCAGTGCCCCTTGCTCTTTGCGTACGGCCTTCTCGAAGCCATGCCTGACAACACCTAACCACAGTGTCTACACTTCTTTGCACTCTAACTGCAATTGCCCGAAAAGAAAGTCCAGCTTCCCGAAGTCCCACTATACGGCTCCTATCAAACTCACTAAATCGTACAGGTCTCCGTACTCTAGGCATCGTAACCGATCGTAAAGGATGTCAAGAACCAAAAACCGCCAACGTTGATTCTTTACTGCGGCTGAAATATTCATTTTTAGAGCGTTAGTGAATTAAAAAAAAAAGCAGTATAAAAACCGGAATGTCCAACTGATAAGGCTGAAAATTTTTTCACTTGTTATTTACAGTAAGATAAATACATTCACCAACTTTTATTAAAATAAAACCATTTAAACTGGGTGTTCGGATTTATATGTCACTTAGTATAAATCTAGCGCATTCTGCATTCTCAACGAAAGCACACTCCTTGGATATTTCAAGGGTGCGTAGATTTCAAATATAATGTCATTTTCCTCTGAGCATTTTCGCAATTTCTATCACCATCTGCTATTATATTTTTCAATAAATATGTCCTATTGTTTCAGTCGGAGTGAAAAATGATCCAAAATAGCTACAAGTCCATGTACCGGCCAAATTTCTACGAAAGCACGTGTCTACGATGTAACGAAACAGTGTATCAGGTTCGTACCAGCTTCTATAAAAGTTGCAGATTTCCGTTGATGATCGGAAACGATGAAAATCCGCTTTTTAAAATACTATACAGTGTTAGCCAAAGTCTTTTTCCCTCTCAGATTTCTATATGTACAAGAGAGAAGAGTTCGCCATATTATACGCGTCATCACCATGGCGGCCAGGGTTGCCAGGTGTGGTGACTTTTCAACAGATCTGGAGATTTTTGTATCTCTTGGCTAATGTGGTAAAACTTTCCTAAAACGCAAAATTTCTGATGATTTTTTCAAATTATTGCAATACAATTATTAAAGATAAATAAACAAAAAACGTGCAACAGCTCAATATGGATAAATTAAAATGTCAAAATAGATTCATTTTGGGTTTGTTACAGTATGTTAATGTTTTTATTATCTTGCACTTTCTTATTTATGTTTGCAGGTGTGTTCTGTTTTTTTTTCGCCAAATACCAGAGAACCGGTTTGACTTTTATTTCGTTAGCAGGTAGAAGTCTTTTGTTACAAGAGTCTGTTTTATTTTTGTTGCATTTTATTTATTCATTTATGTTTTAAAAGTAAGTTATGTTATTTATGTTTAAAGGTGCGTTTTATGTTTTTCTTTATTTTAACAAATACCTGTTCGTCCTTTAACTAACCTTATTAGCAAGCAGAGAATCTTGGAAGTATTGGTTATATTTTTGTTTTTTATTTTAGTAAATATGTATGTTCGTCTTTTACTTTCTTTTACTTAGTGTCGATTACTTATCCACACCAAAGTCTAATACGTCCAAAACAGTCCATAAAAAAATACTTAATTGTTTACCAGGATTCCTTTTTTTTTCTCACGACCTGTGTCATAATAGAATTTATGGAGATTTGGTGATTTTTTTCAAAACCAGGCAGCTAATTCTGGTGATCAATATATTTTTTATCTGGCAACCCTGTAAAGCGCACTCTTTCTAACACGCTTCTATCTCTCGTACATATGAAAATTTTAAAGGGAATACGACTTTGGCCAGCACTGTATACTTTTTTTTTGTAGGTTGATCGAGTAGGACCTTTGAAGGATTTCACATTCTTTCACAGCGGCTGTTTTAAGTGTGCCTTATGCGGAACCAAACTAACTTTGAAAACGTACTACAATAATCAACACAGACAGGTAAAGCATTGCATCTCAAAACATTTTTCAATAGCTCTACAAAAATTATTTTGTGTTTTGAGCAACTACTACGAAATGTTGTCGGTTGCTTGTGGGCTAGTTCGTCCCTGTCGACCTGAATGGTACACTGTCTTTTTAGGTCCTGAATTGAAATATATAGTGTAATTCACGAGTAATAACCGTTATCTATAGTCAAAAAGTACATTTTAAAAAAGATCCGTTCTATGTACAGTCAAATTCGTGCTTTTATTTCAGGAAGATAAAGAAGTATATTGTAGCAGTCATGTACCTAAAATAGGCCCGGGTCATTTGGATGGATCCTCCGTAGGCATAAGGTCGGCATTGAATGTTCCCAAAAGTACAAATTTTGTAAACGAACAAATCCGAGGACCTGGAAGAGGCATTGACGATGGTGAGTTAACGTGTTTTAGTAACAAAACTAATTATTCCTGCGTAATCATAAATTTTTTGACTAGGCGGTAACTTCTTTTTTCATTTTTCTCCGGATTATCTCTAAAAGTCGCTCGAAACTAATCTTCAGCCATTATAGTAGCACTCCTTTTCCTTTTGTTAGGTTTCAAGATCTCTGTATTTGTGATGCGTAAACGATTTTTTAAAACACCCCTCTCCTCATCTTTTCCAGTCGGCTACGTTCGTCAATCTAACGGCTGCTCCACCTCCCCGTTAGGCTACGCCCACTCTCCTCCAATGGGAGCGAGCGACCGGCATTCCAGCTCCGCCTCCCCTGCTGGCCACGCCCCTCACGACACCTCCTACCAATACGGGCGGTTCGACGCCAGCGCGCTGCATATCGCGCATGCGCTCAAGCAGACCGAGTTGCAGAAGGCGTATAAGGTTAGCAGGGAGAAGCCGATCGACTGCTATTTGGTGAGTTATTGATTATGATGGTATTTTAAACTGAATTCACTATGATGTAAATATACAAATTTTAATCGCGTGAGCCTGCCTGTCAATTTTTGTTATTTATGTTCGTAGTTGAGTTTCTTTAGATGGTCTAAAAACACGAAAAAATAAAAATCGCTTAGGATCAAGGTCAGGTCTGTAGTCAATTTTGACGAGTGATCTTGGATTTGGCCTTGAACTTCACCTTCAAGGTCATTTTAATTTTTTCAAATAGAAACCCGCAGGAAGATAGTATTCAAGGTCAAATCCAATATCACCGCTACTTATAAAAATTTAGTAAAGACCTGACCTTACCAGTTATTTTCGTCATGATCTCTGCGGATTTTCTGCATATTTTCCTATCAGCACATATTATTTGACCTCCCGCGGTAATCTTGATCTTGAATTTTGATACAAATTCGAATGTTCTCCATTGAACAAATCAAGTTAACTTTGGGTAAGTTTTAACGAGCGAACTACGGTGCTCGTTACGAATGATTTTTTAACGGATACTCTTACTGTGGGTTTCTATTTGAAAGAAAGGCCTTGAAATGAGCTTGAAGGTGAGGTTCAAGGTCAAATGCAAGATCATTCATCAAAATTCTCTAAAGAACTGACCTTCCACTAATCCTGTAAGATTTATTGTAGCTTTCTTAGTGGAACACATTTGACCTCTATTTGACGTTTACTGATCACCAGAGCCTTGGTCTTCAATTCGTATTTGAACGTAAAACAGGGATTTCTATTAAAAAATGAATTTGACCTTGAAATGACCTTGAAGGTGAAGTTCAATGTCACTGTGCACTCGCTCGTTATAATTTACCAAAGACCTGACCTTGATAAATGTTTCCATTACTAATCCTGTGAGATTTATAGCTTTCCTGACAACACACATTTGACCATTAAATGACACCCTGACCTTGGACTTCAATTCGTATTTGAACGCAAAAGTTTCCGATTGCCGGCATCAAAAATAGGGATTTCTATTAAAAATGAAATTGACCTTGAAATGACCTTGAAGGTAAAGGCCAAGGTCAAATTCAAGGTCACTGTTCACTCCCTCGTTAAAATTTACCAAATACCTTAAATTGAAAAATGTTTTCATTACTAATCCTGTGAGATTTATAGTTTTTCTGACAACACACATTTGACCTTTATATGACACCCTGACCTTGAACTTCAATTCGTATTTGAACGCAAAAGTTTCCGATTGCCGGCATCAAAAATAGGGATTTCTATTAAAAAATGAAGTTGACCTTGAAATGACCTTGAAGGTGAAGGCCAAGGTCAAATTCAAGGTCACTGTTCACTCGCAAGTTAAAATTTACCAAAGACCTGACCTCGAAAAATGTTTTCATCACTAATCCTGTGAGATTTATAGTTTTCTTGACAACACACATTTGACCTTTAAATGACACCCCGACCTTGGACTTCAATTCGTATTTGAACGTGAAAGTTTCCGATTGCCGATATCAAAAATAGGAATATCCATTAAAAAAATAAAATTGGCCTTGAAATTACCTTGAAGGTGAGGATCAAGGTCAAATCAAAGATCACCGTTCACTCCCTAGTTACAATTTACCAAAGACCTGGCCTTAATAGTTATGTTCATCACTCATCATGTGAAACTGATAGAGGTTTTCTTAGCAGCGCAACATTTGACCTTCATTTGACCCTGGACTTTGGGTTTAAACGGCAATTTTATGTTAAAATGTGTCTTAGAAAACAAGGTCAAAGTGACCACTAGAGGTCACATAAAGGCCAAAAGTGTTCTGCTAGGAAAACTTCTAGAAATCTCACATGAATAGTGACGAACATAACTGAGAAGGTGAGATATTTGAGTAAGTTTTAGCAAGGGAAGATTTTTAGCGGATATTGTTTTCCTGCGGATTTCTATTTGAAAAAAATTGAAATGACCTTGAAGGCGAAGTTCAAAGTCAAATCCAAGATCACTCGTCAACATTGATTACAGACCTGACCTTGATAATCATTTTCATCACTAATTCTGTGAGGTTTATAGAGGTTTTCTTAGTAGCACACATTTGATCTTCATTTGACCATTAGTAGTCACTCTGACCTTGGACTTTAATTGTGTTTGCACGTAAAACTTTCTGTTCTTTCGCTTGCCGTCATCATAAAGGGGGTTTCTATTTGATAAAATAAAGATACTAAGACACTTTCTGGACTATATTAGACAATGTTTATCTTCAGCTTTTTACAAATCTCCTACAGGATGTTAAATTAAAAATTACGCCCGCGATCTAGAAATAGATCAAGCGAGAAATGTATTGAAACAATTTCACTTCATTCGTATGGAATTGGTGCTTTTCTCTCCTTATTTAAGCGGCATTGTGTTTAGGTACTCGGAAAGAATTAATGTATGCTTCCGAGTCTATTCACTGTAAAAACCAGAACATCGTTCGCTGCTATGACGTGCCGCTGTAGTTGAGGATCTCACGCGATTTTACAACTTCATTCAACCAAAAATCGGGTCAAACCGAGGCATGCTTATGCGCGGTTAGCATATATGTATATTATCGAGTATTCTGGTATTTAGCATATGCATAAACAGCCAAAGATGGACTTTTTACTTGTAGAAAAGAATCCTTTATGAACTGATAATGGCGTTGCGTGGGAAACTACATGGCGCCGTTTGTTCTTTCTAATTGTCGAACCAAATCATCATTAGAATATTCGGAATTTGTTTATCCGTTTTGAGTCTCGTCGAAAGGTGTAAATCAAAACAGCCTTAAACACCGCCTTCTGATCGGAATGCAGCAGTATGTGTCGTAATGGGCAATAAACGCCCACTTCGATGGCGTGAATTGAAAATTAAACACGTGGGAAGCTGCTGAACCGACATCCGCCGTTTGACGCCTCATCCGACTGGCGCGGTTCAATTGTTATTCCATAAGCTACTAAGATTATATCCGAGGTGTCAGGGAGACGAATACCTGTACTTTGCATATTCCCATTTTGAATGGATATCAAATGTGCTTTGCTGGTACAACGAGTATTTCCGCTAGAATATACAGACTGGTTTGATGTCTGAGTTGTACAAATATTGAAATCTAAAGTCAACTTTGGTATCGGGATCATTCAACTATTCCTTGACATAAGACTGTGGAAGAATCTTGGATGTTTTAAAAATTTGAAAATTCTGAAAATTTTGGAAATATTGAAAATTTTGAGATTCTGAAAATTTTTCAAAAATGTCAAGCTATCAAAATTTGTAAAAATTTCAAATTTCGAAATTTGCAAGATTTTTAAAATTGTCAAAATTTTAAATGTTTTGAAAATTATGAAAATTTTGGGGATTTTGAAGATTTTGAAAATTTGATGATTTTGAAAAGAAAAACTTTGGAAAACCAAAAATTTTGGAAATTTAGAGATTTTGAGAATTTCGATGATTCTGAAAATTTTGTAAATCACGAAAATTTTAGAAATTTTGAAGATGTCGGATGTTTTGGAAGATTTTAAAATTTTGAAAATCCTGAAAATATTGCAAATTCTGAAAATCTTGAAAATATTGAATATTCAAATTAACAAAATTTACAAAAATTTCAAGACTCGAAATTTGCAAGATATTTAAAATTTTTAAAATTTTGAAAACTAAAAGTTTGGATAAATGTGATAACACTGATTGTTTAGTAAATTTTGAAAATTTTTGAAATACTGGAAATTTAGAAAAAATTGAAATTTCTAAAAATATAGAAAATTCTGACAGTTTTGAAAATTTTTCAAATCTGCAAGTTGTCCAAATTTGCAAAAATTTCAAGTTTCGAAATTTGCAAAATTTTTAAAATTTTCAAAATTTTTAAAGTTGTGCATGCTAAAAATTTTGATAAATGTGATAATACTGATTATTTTGTAAATTTTGAAGATTTTGGAAATTCTGGAAATTTTGAAAATTCAGGGAATATTGGAATTTTCGAAAATATTGAAAATTTTGGAACTTTAAAAAATGTTGCAACTTTCTAAAATTCTAAAATTCTTGTAAGTTTTGAAAATCAGATAATTTTGGAAATCACGAAAATTATGAAAATTTTGGGAATCTTGAAAATTATGAAAATTTTGAGAATCTTGAAAATTATGAAAATTTTGAAGATTTTGAAAATTTGAGAACAAGGTTTTGATGATTTTGAAAAGAAAAACTTTTGAAAACCAAAAATTTTGGAAATTTAGATATTGTGAGAATTTTTAAAATACTGAAAATTTTGAAAAATTTGAAATTTCTAAAAATATAGGAAATTCGGACAGTTTTGAAAATTTTTCAAAATCTGCAAGTTGTCAAAATTTGCAAAATTTTTACAGTTTTGAAAGCTAAAAGTTTTGATAAATGTGATAATACTGATTATTTTGTAAATTTTAAAGATTTTGGAAATGCTGGAAATTTTGAAAATTCAGGGAATATTGGAAGTTTCGAAAATATTGAAAATTTTGGAACTTTAAAACATGTTGCAACTTTCTAAAATTCTAAAATTCTTCTAAGTTTTGAAAATCAGATAATTTTGGAAATCACGAAAATTATGAAAATTTTGAGAATTTTGAAAATTATGAAAATTTTGAGAATCTTGAAAATTATGAAAATGTTGAAGATTTTGAAAATTTGAGAACAAGGTTTTGATGATTTTGAAAGAAAAACTTTTGAAAACCAAAAATTTTGGAAAATTTAGATATTGTGAGAATATTTAAAATTCTGAAAATTGTGAAAAATTTGAAATTTCTAAAAATATAGAAAATTCTGACAGTTTTGAAAACTTTTCAAAATCTGCAAGTTGTCAAAATTTGCAAAAATTTCAAGTTTCGAAATTTGCAAGATTTTAAAAGTTTTCAAAATTTTAAAGTTTTAAAAGCTAAAAGTTTTGATAAATGTGATAATACTGATTATTTTGTAAATTTTAAAGATTTTGGAAATTCTGAAAATTTTGAAAATTTTGGAATCTTAAAAAATGTTGCAACTTTCTAAAATTCTAAAATTCTTGCAAGTTTTGAAAATCAGATAATTTTGGAAATCATGAAAATTATGAAAATTTTGGAAATATTGAAAATTACGAAAATTGTGAGAATCTTGAAAATTATGAAAATTTTGGAGATTTTAAAAATTTGAGAACAAGGTTTTGATGATTTTGAAAAGAAAAACTTTTGAAAACCAAAAATATTGAAAGTTTTGGGAGCTGAAAAAATCTTGCAACTTTCTAAAATTTTAAAATTCTTAAAGTTTTGAAAATCAGATAATTTTGAAAAATCTTGAAAATTATGAACATTATCTAAATCTTGAAAATTATGAAAATTTTGGAGATTTTGAGATTTTTTTAGAAATTGAGCTCTTGAAAATTTTGAAGAATCTGATAAAATTTTGAAAACAGATCCTACTCAAGTTATAGAAGGGCCAAGGATTAGCGGACACATAACATTCAAAAAACGCCATATTTCATTTCCGAAATTTTAGGCGATCACAAAACTTCCTCTTCCCAGTCCTTTCATATCCGTACTCTGAACCATATTTTATGCTCGTGCAATGCAATGTCGCTTGTAATGCTAAAAACAAAATCTACAAGGCAGAAAGTATGTCACTACAGGTAAATGTGACCTACACTTAAAACCGCCCCCATACTACTCATGTGACGTAAGCGTTCCAGTCTGCGCGACTCCGGTGACGTATTCTCGTGACGTCACCGGTGTTGGTGTGTGGCCAACATCGTAGCGGGCCGATTCCATTCATGGGTTGCTGCGACCCGACAGATTTCGTGGGCGACCCAACCAGAGTGGGTGACAAGAAACACCACGTATGATAAATTTGGTTTTGGCACGTTGTTAGATTGTACAGTCGAATCTTTGAAAGGCACAACATGCATGTGCGTTCTCAATGCTTCATAATCGTTGCAGACTGGTTAAGGGTTAACTTTCAAGAAAAACAAAACTGTTTCGCGATTACAATGATTTCTCATCAAAGCAGGCGTGGGAAGTAAAAAGCTGTTATTCCTGAGAGGGACTATAAAAGCTGTATCGTATCAAATGTATCTGTCTAGTATAGAATCACGCACTAACAATAACTCGATGATATATTTCTTTTTTTTCAATTTAATATAAAATAAAAGTTCTGGCAAACGCTGAACCAATGATGTTCACGCCACGCTGCCCGTCCAAATTACCTATCCCAGAGTTGATAAAATCTCAGTTCCACGCCATAACTGTATCTTCTTTCATGTTTCATGTTTAATTGTGCTGATGAGGCTCGCACACCATTTATTTCATGTAAAAAGTATGTCAAAGCAATGTAACAGCTACAAGTTGCATGGCTGTGTATGAGAAACGTTTTTGAATTCTTTTGTGAGGTTATGAGTTGGTTATATACGTGTTTCACAGCCTTTCATTATGTTTAACAAATGTCACATTCACGCGTGTTTTATCAACAATTTAAAAGCAAAGCTTTACAATAACTATACCGCCTAAAATGCTTTGGGATTTTATTTATGGCTATCCGAAGAATCTTTAGGAGCTTTTGCATAATTAAAATAATGTTTTTCGTAGAGGAAATGTCATATTTTGCGCTTATTCATATATTAAATCGCTCATATCAACAACTAGGTAGGTATACAAAAAGTTTTAAATATTGAATCTCGATTTATTTCATTGAAAAATGTCTCAACTTATATTAAGAAGCATGGAGTATTGCAGTTGTATTTTGTGTTTTAAGGGTATCCCAATGATTATCGAGATTACTATTCATCGTTGAGTCTCATCATTTCAATTTTATGTCTTTTGGTGCGGATTAAAAATGTATTGTGTGTTTTACAATTACTTTTATTTGACATTATTTTTATTTCAGGATAGAGACGAGCAAAGAAAACTGGAAATGAGGCATCGGAAGGAAGAAGACGACTTGTACAGAAAATTTCAGAAACAGAGAGAGGAGGAAGAAAGGAGAATAAGGGAAGAAATTAAGGTGAGTTCAACAATCAAAATTACAAGAATTTGTTATAGACGTACATAAAGCCCAGTGAACATGATGACGCCAAAGTGACGTCATTGTTCGGTCGCTTATGGCCGGAAACATCATCGACTAAAAAATTACGTCTTTATTGACGCCATTTTTATGACGACCACAAAACGTCCTTTAAGGTGCCGTCATTTTAACGTCTTTTTTAGGACAGTCAGTACTGAAAAATCAGCACTAGTAAGCTAAACTAGATATCCAAATACTAATAACTACTTTATTATTTATAAAAAAGTATCAGGAATTCTTTTCTCTTTTCAAATAATGATATTCTATGTTCAGATTTTTCAAATCGCCATTTAGCATCATGTTTTATTCCCGTAAATAACAAATTCATTTGGATTTGGATACACCACGCGATTATTTTTGCTATAACTTATGTCGTCATCACATAGACGTCATATCGACCTCAGATTTTGTATTTCGTCTTTTATACGACACACTATGACGTCAATTGGGTATGGCATTAGACAGTCATAATGACGTCATTTCTACGATATTTTTGTTGGTCTGTGTACGTTAGCAGTGCCCTAAAAATCAATCAAAATTATTCACCAAATCATGCTGAATATGGAAATAAAGTCCTATTTCACATAAAATAAATTAGCCAAGCTAACTAAACAGTTTAAGAAAACGGTTAGATGGTTCTAGAAAATTCAGTTTAATTATACTGAATAGTTAGAGTAATTAAAAAATTATTACGTCTGATGAAAATTTCCCAGAATTTACCACGATTTCTCAGTGTCCCCAAACATTCGTCATATTCACTGAAACCTTCCTCCGAAACACCGCTTGATGCATTTCGTCATGATGGGACTTACAGCAGCTCCAGAGGGAAATTGAAATTGCTCGTGTAGAGGCAATCTACTTGACGGTTTCAAGCAATTTGTTTGATTGCATGCGTATCATTGCGGTTACAAGATAACCGCACTTGCCACCGGCACAATTAGACATTTAGGTTGGAATTCAAGCCAAAGAAAATGCTACGGAGACACCGAAGTGGAAACGAAAACCACATACACTGTCAGGTAAAAGTACGGATGCCAGTTGTAGAACATTAGGGACGCCTTTATGTCCTCCTTCATTTTCATAGTTTTCTACTCTTTTTGAGGTTATGTTTCAAATATCAATTTGCGTCAAATTGTTTCATGCTTTTGATTTTCATCGTCTGTTTTGTCAGTCTGGAATTTCCTACATTTTAAAAAGAAAACATAACCTCACAATATTAGAGCGCTTACGCTGATTAGGAAAAATAGAAATATAGAAATATACTAGCCTTTCTGAACTAAAGAAAAGGCCATAAAAGCGTCCTACAATTTTAGAAAGCACTGACGATACGGCCGTTAATTTCAAAACGGCAACAAATTTGAAATTCAACTATTTTCAAAAATCCCCAATTCTTAAACAAAATTACAATTTTTTCAAATTTCGAAATTTCCAAAATGTTTTCAAAATATCCAAATTTACAAATTATTTTCCAAATCTTCAAATCGTTTTTTTCCAAATTTCAAAATTCAATTTTTGAAAAAAATTCAATTTCGATTTTTATTTTCAAGACTATTTTGTCATCGGCACCTGACCCCTGTGCAAAATTTTCAGGTTGATCAGACTTCCTTGAATTTCGAATTAAATATCTCAAAAACAAACAAAAGTACGATATCGATCAGAACGACCACGATTTCGGGGAGAAAGAAAACAACGATTTCAAGTTTCCCAATATATTTTCATCATACCAGTCAATGAGATACTAAGTGACATATAAATACGAACACCCAGTTTAAATGGTTTTATTTTAATAAAATTTTGTATAAGTACTTAATGAAGCATAATAAGTAAATGATAAAAATTTCAAAATGATTGCACTGCTTTAAAGCCCTTTGACCTTTAATAAAGTGTGGATGCACCCTGATGTGCTACGCATTCTCCAACGCGCCTACAGTATATTCAGATAAGAGATAGACCGGACATAAACAAGACCACGTGATCATCGAACGCTGTAACATTCGGCAGGGACGTATTAAGAGTCACGCAGTACATATTTTAGATAGTAGATGCTGCTTTGCGTAACTTTGTAGTAAATTAGCACAATTCGATGTGTATACGATTGGTGATGGATATAGGATCATGTGGGGTGGGGTAAGAAATATATAATGATGTAAATATACATAAGGGTTTCAAAATTTTCGCTTCGATTTCCAGCTTCGGATGCCGCCTGATGTTTGGTGAAATACAGTCGAATATAATCTCAAAATGGCGTTTAAATTAGCCTAAATTAAAAATAATCGTATATCTCTTAAAATTGCTTTTAGAATATTGATTAGTATATTTTTTGATTTCTAGGTAAATATGTAACCAAATTAAAACGTTCAAAACGTAAAAAAATGTGCATGGTTGAACATTGTCAGAAAGTAGATTCTTGAATAGGTTTTGCCAAAATGGGTTCAATACATTATTAATATTAACAAATTATAACTTTATAAAGCTTAAAGTATGAATTAAAATGATTAGAAATATTAGGAACGGTACACAATATAAAACTTAGTAACTTTTTTTAAGTTTATAATATTCGACATATTTTAAGATTATATTAAAAAATTATTGAAATATCGAAAACACATAAAAACATGGCTTAAAAAAGTTCTAACAAATGAAAATGACAATAAAACATCCACGCATTTTATCGAAAGTTATAAAAGTTTTGTTACTTGTAATATGTTTTATCTGCCCCCTGGAATTAATGTTTAGAACCTTGTTCCCAAGGTTTGAAAAACATCCGATTGTTGTCTATTACTCGTATTTACCTGCTGGATTTTTTAATCCGGTGGACAGTCCATCTAGAAAGGCCCTCCTGGATGAAGTTACAGAATCAACAACCCATACTTTACTTGTAGTGTGTCCTGCGTTTACCCACATTTCATCAAGGTAATAAATCTTCCTGTTTTGATTTCTATATTTCCCAATTTTTGTTAAATAATCCCTCCTCCATAGCACAATTTCTTCTCTATCCAGTAGTAAGCTATTACGACCCCGTTTTTTCCATTTGAAATTTAAATGCTTCAGTAACGCATGGAAAGTTGATCGTTTGAAATTTGGCAACGTTGTATCTCCATTTACCTCCTGCAGTAGTTTATCTATAGTAGGTATTTCATTCCTAAAGAAGAATTCATGCACTTTCCTCCTAATCGCATGCTTATCAGCTTCATCCATTGATTTAACAATACTTTTGCGATGTTTACTGGTCATTGCCTCAGAAAAGGTGTGATTTTTTTTGTATTGTCTTAACACATTAAACACTGATGCGCGACACACCCCAACTTTGTGAGAAACCTTCACAACAATTTCTTTGATGGTTGATGCCTCGTTCTCCTCACGCTCGATCTTATATATATTCAAAATGACCTCTTTCATTTCTGCACTCAGGTGTCTTTTTTTAGAGCGTTTCCTAGGTGGACTACAGGAGATTACAACTTCATCGGCAGTATCTGTACTACTGGGCATTTTGCGCAAGCAGTTGATAACAATAACAATCAATAACAAGGTATAACAATAACGACAAACTCAACAACTTAATAAGATAACAAACGAAAACGTCCAAAGAAATATCAAATTGCAATGATGCACACGACATACGTAACACGTCTGAACCTGAATGTGACTCTGCCTTGATACGACTGCTCTGCCGCTCGGCATAGGCATTTAATTGCGAATTGACCAATGAGGGCTCCTGTTTTACGTCGAGACGGCGGCGTTAGCGTGAAAATCACCCGAACCTTTTGTTTACATCCGGTCTATCTCTTATCTGAATATACTGTAGGCATGCTTCTGATCAGGTGGTCAATGTCGGTAAACACTTCGCATGCCAATAGGTCTTCCGTGTTCTGCAAACCATTCATTTGCAATGGACCTGGTAGTGGAGAAACGGTCCCTTAAGGCCAATAATCTTAGGCGGCGATCTTCACGGTCTGTTGTTCTACGGCGGCGTCCAGTGCCCCTTGCTCTTTGCGTACGGCCTTCTCGAAGCCATGCCTGACAACACCTAACCACAGTGTCTACACTTCTTTGCACTCTAACTGCAATTGCCCGAAAAGAAAGTCCAGCTTCCCCTATCAAACTCACTAAGTTGACGAAATCGTACAGGTCTCCGTACTCTAGGCATCGTAACCGATCGTAAAGGATGTCAAGAACCAAAATCCGCCAACGTTGATTCTTTACTGCGGCTGAAATATTCATTTTTAGAGCGTTAGTGAATTAAAAAAAAGCAGTATGAAAACCGGAATGTTCAACTGATAAGGCTGAAAATTTTTTCACTTGTTATTTACAGTAAGATAAATACATTCACCAACTTTTATTAAAATAAAACCATTTAAACTGGGTGTTCGGATTTATATGTCACTTAGTATATAAGCTCAACAAAAATGCACAATACATATAACTGCTAACACGTAAAGTGTCTGTTATAACAGCCTGAAATTCTCGACAATTCAAGAAGAAAACATAGCCTTACAATTTTAATTCTGAAAGAGAGAAAAGACTATGGAAATCAAGGAGGCCACAAAATCGTGTTACAATTATAATACAGAGATAAGCCTTTTTAATGAATATACATTTTTTTCAGATCTCAAAAATTATTTTTCTTGTTTATCAAGGTTATGCACGGCCCGGTACTTAACCTTTACGTAGCTGCTTGGGCATGAAATCGAAATACCAACAATTCCATACTTTTTCTACCACCTGTAAACCCATCTCATTCTACAGAGAATCTATTCAAGCTATCACTTTTTGTACTGTTACGTACTTACATAATATCGTCCAGATCTCGCCGCTGCATCTAGAATGCCATGATCGGAATTGACAGAAAAAACAAGAGAACAAATATGCAGTCTCGCCAACCGCTATGAATATATTCAATAATAATCTAGTGTGCGTTGAACCGTTTTAAGCTGGATTGA